AAATCAATAGAATAACTCTTTCGTTGTATTATTACCCAATAACAATCATACATCAACTGCACTTTATTCTACAGAATCATTGATGATTTTACATTCTTCTGAAAAAATGTGATCAACACAAAATTATGAAGAAACACAACAGCAAATTAGAGATATTTCAATCGAAGTTGACTTATATTCAAAGCAATCAACACAATTTCACAATATGTCTAATGAGTTTGAAATTGCTTTTTGGTTAGCTCATCACAAAAGAATTTTAGATTTAACAATAAATATCAAAGATGGAATAGTAAATGGAATCAATAAAGAATCTGATATGGCTTCAACATCTATATATGCTTTAACACAATGATTTTCCTATGAATTTGTATCAACACCTCTGAAAATTGATCAGGTAATAAAAACAATATTGATTTTTTATAAAAATTCAAAAAAAACAAAAATAAAAATAAAAATCATACTAATATTTATTTTATAATTAGCATATTAAATTACAATTATAAGAAGAATGTAAAGCATTTTTCCTTCAAACGAGAAATAATACAATAGTATTATATAAAGAACTTATTGTCTGAGTATGTAAAATTGCCAAAACTGACCTGAGGATAGGAACTTTAGTTAAAGATGTAGGTGGATGGTTTAATACCTATCGCTATAAGTTTTATATAGCTATTTTAAAACTCGCAAATGAATTTAAAATAACACACAAAAGGTTTGTAATAATAATAAAATAAAAACATTATAAATTATTTAATTATTATTATTATTATTACTATTACTATTAATTCTACTTGACTAATTAATTAATAGGGCAAAAGAACCATATAGTGAGTTAGATGAATTCATAATTGTTTCATATGCATCTAAAGGTGACTGACTAATAGAAATTAAGAAAAAATTTAGTAATTATCACGAAACTTGGTTTCTTTGTTTAAACAGTTATTAAAACAGTTTTAATTGCAATGAGAACTAAGAATGATACATAAATGACCATTAAAAAGTGTGATAAAAATACCATTGACTTAGAAATATCAACTAAACTTAAAATAGTAAAGTATTACCAGTGCGAAAGCTCTTAGATTATTAAATCAGAAGAGTAAAATAGTAATTAAATTTACTGATCAATATGATAATTGAGTGAGTGAAGTTATAAAACAAATAATTTGATTATATTTGTATTTCTTTCTGTATATTTGTTACATTTAGTGTTTATATATATAAAATATTGTGATAATATTTTTGAAGGCTTGAAAATATATTTCAAAGTATTTATTATTAATTGTGTTATTTTGTAAATTATTATTAAGTATAAATTTATACTAAAATTTTGGCATATATAAAAGATATTACAAATCTATCTTATCTATCTGTTAATTATCTTATAATTACATTAGAGGTTGGAACTGATTTGGCATAATTCGATTTAAATTCAGTTTAAACTGGTTGTAACATAAAACCGGGTCTGATTTTTTCAGATCTGAAAACTGGTTTTAATAAAACCAGTTGATTGCGAAAGTTTGAATTTAATGAAACTGGTTGAAACCTGATCCAATCTCTAATTAATCATTAACTGGTCGATTAATTATATACTACTTC